TTTCACCCCTTCGGCTGCAACTCTTCGAGGCTGGAGGTAAAATACGAACGTCACAGTGCTAGCTGCGGAGTGGACGAGCTCAGCCTGACTCCACCACAGACACCGAGCTGCCACAGCCTCTGTGTGGAGCAGAGGGCGCCTGGGGGAGCAGATGGACGGGGTGAAGAGCCTTGCTCAAGGGCCCGGGGTGGGACAAATGAGGGTGGAGACAGGTGTGGGTGCTTCACCTTTTCCACCCACATTTTGATGTTGTTGGTACAGGGAGTTGAACAGGCGACCTTCTGATCACAGGCCCACCTTTTCTAACCTCTGCACCACCGCTCCGCTCCAAAGGAAAACCTTTCAGAAGTTTGATCCGTTTTTTCTGTTGCGCTCTCGTTAGGTTCTCATTTCGTGATGTTCTCTTGGTTCTTTTAAGAACTGAAGACGTCCGTTCTGCTGCTTTCTGTTCTTTCTTCATGCGTTTGTCTTCCGTGCACTCAGCGTCACTGCATCACACTCGGCGGAAACCTGGCGTCGTTCCACAGCCACAACAAGCTCACCTTCCTCAGGCAGCTCATCAGAAACGGAGTCGGGTTCAACACAAACACGTGGGTCGGAGCCAACGACGCGGCGAAGGTCAGCCGTGCAGAACACGTGTTGAATGTGTCGTATGAGACGGGCTGCGGGCGGCCTCAGTGTGAGCAGAGCAGGTCGGACTGAACGAGTGTTCTTGTTTCAGGAAGGCGCTTGGATGTGGAGCGACGGCTCCAGCTTCACCTACAGCCGCTGGCACAGAGGAGAACCAAACAACACGGGTGGACAGGAGAACTGCATGGAGATCAACTTCAGAGGTACGAATCATCACACGATGCCCTGGACGCAGGTTTCAAGGTCCAAAAGAATGTTGTGTAAAATAAATTATAATCTGAGGTTCGGTTGGACCCGTGCTGGACTCTGTAATCTGTCAGATTGGCTCATTTCACCACATCTTGTTACAGGAGGAGACCACACCAACGACGAACGATGTTACAGCAAGCGTCCTTACATCTGCTCCAAACAACTTTAACTTCCTGTCCCACAGCCTGCGGCGTGATGTCACTTCCGCCAGACGCCAAGCCTCGATGGCGCCTCAGCTGGAAGAGGAACTGTTGGATCCGTCTTTAATAAACGCTTGTCTGCAAACTGTCCCAGCTCCTTGTTGTTTCACGTGCACTTCATTTAAACTGGTGGACTCACCGAGTCACGAGAACTCGTTTCTTTTTGTTTATTATGGGATATTTTAAAGCTTCACAACAACAACAACACATCACAACAAGAACAACAACAAAACAACAACACCAACAACCGAACAACAACACATCACAACAAGAACAACAACACCAACAACCGAACAACAACACATCACAACAACAGAACAACAACAACACAACAACACAAACAACACATCACAACAAGA